GAGAGAGAGAGAGACCATGTGACTGGTTCTCTTCTTTTATGGGGGATCCAGGAGGTGGGTGGTGGCCATGCCAACCTCCTGGCCCACCTTCCTGTTAGTCCGTCCCAAAACTAATCCTATTGGTTGCCTATAGGAGTGGGAGGTTGCCTATCAGGAGTGGCCAATATTGAAATCTAATACCTTACTCAAAGAAGGACATCTGGGCAGCTGTGAAAACCTTGGTGTCAGGATGCTTCACTGTAGTGTAGATGAAGCTGGCCATCCTATTGTAAACCAAATGTCCATTTGGCAGGAAATACCAATGCAGTAACAAAGCAATGATGTGTCGGAAGTGATCACAACTAGATCTGCAATGGGGGCTGTCTCTTTTCAAAGTTGTTGTTTCTTACTGCTCACAATAATGGAGGTGTGTGCTTCTTCACCAGGCTGGTAACTCTGTACCTGAAACCTTATTTACACGTGTAAGGCTTGTGCAGGCACCTTCTATGTGTTACATCACCACAGGTGACTTGAAATGTACAGTTCTCTGAGCCTGTGTGTGTGTGCGTGCACAGTCCATTGTGTGTGGCAATAGATATAGTTCATAAAGCAAATATCAAGTTCATTCTCTAACAAGTGGGCTAGACTGATGAATAGTTCTACATGGCAGCCCCTTAGCTCTACATTCGTGTGCTGCAGAGGTCGGTACTGTCGGCTCTGACTGGCAGCAGCTCTCCAAGGACTTAGGGGAGAGTCTTCCACATCACCTACCTGACCCTTTTGTAAACTGGAGATGCCAGGAATTGATCTTGAGAGCTTCTGCATTCAAAGCCTCACCCTTATTTTTAAAGACACCCTTATTTTTAAATACGCTTGCCCAAATGCAGAAGAGATTTCCTCTTCTGGGGGGGGGGGGAAGTGGTTAACAAAAAGACATCTTGACAGTCGTTTGCACCCGAAATCTGTCAGGCACGGCAAACTTGAAACTCCAACACATAATTACCACATGTTTTGCAGAGATCTGAGCTGCCCTCTTTTTTTTGTGTGTGTGCTTGTTAACAACTCCCAGGCCAGCTAAACAATCGAGAGTCTCTGGAGAGCCAAGGGACCCAGGCTGTTCTGACCACAGCTCCCGTGGGAGGAGTGTTGTTTTTACCTTGGGCGAGACGGGGAGGAACTGCCGGAAATAGACGCCAGGGAAAAGCAGGCTCTCGTCCTGGGAGGTTCCTAGGGAGAAAACAGCCAGTAATTAGAAACTTGAGTACAACGCAAGACAGGAGTGTGAGTGGGCGGGGAAAGCAGCTCAGAGCCTGTTACGTGGGTGGAACGGGGCTGGGATTAAGACAGCCAGGTTGGGTTTCTCTGGCACAGCTTCATGTACATGTTGGGATCTGCGAGGAGGAGCCTAGAAAGCCTTCATTTTGCAATTCCGCACAGGAACGTAGCATCGGATGCAGCACTGAGGAAAGGGGCCAGCCAAGCAAGGCTGCTCGTAGGCATTATCATCCTTGGTGCCAGCCAGCCCCAGTCTTTAGTTCCTTCCCTGTGGAGAGAAGGGACTAGATTCTGCACCATGCCATCAATGGCCAGGGCCACAAAAGGCTGCCATCCATGCCCCAATGGAGCTGCGGTGGCTCAAGTGGTTAAGATGCTGAACTGCAGGCTGTGGAAGGTCGGTAGTTCAGCAGTTCAAGACCCGGGTGCCGCAAGACGGGGTGAGCTCCTGTCTCTAGTCCCAGCTCCTGCCAACCTAGCAGTTCGAAAGCAAGAAATTGCAAGTAGATAAATAGGGACCACTTCGGTGGGAAGGGAACAGCGTTCCGTGCGCCTCGGTGTTTAGTCATGCCGGCCACATGACCACGGAAACGTCTTCGGACAGCGCTGGCTCTTCGGCTTTGAAACGGAGATGAGCACCGCAACCCTAGAGTCGGACTCGACTGGCTTTCGAGCAAGGGAACCTTTACCTTTACTTTACTGAGTTTTAACTGCCCTAAGCAGTTGATTGCTGAAAGCTCAAGAGTGAGGACTAGGACAAACACGCTCGCCTCTTGTTGGGAAAAAAAGGCCATGTGACAAATCCACAGGGGCATACGAAGCTGCTGCCTACTGATTCAGTTTATCACGGTCGGTACTGTCGGCTCTGACTGGCAGCAGCTCTCCAAGGACTTAGGGGAGAGTCTTCCACATCACCTACCTGACCCATTTTGTAAACTGGAGATGCCAGGAATTGACCTTGAGAGCTTCTGCATTCAAAGCGCCACCCTTATTTTTAAAGGCACCTTCTTCTAGTCCCCCCCACACTTTCCAAAAAAATAATAATCTCACAAGGTACTCCTCTGACAAACTAGATCTACTGGGGATTGTACCCAGGAGTTTGTGTGTGTACAGCCAATATTCCCTCTCAATTACTAGGGTATTGGGGGAGGGGCGGCTGTGGTTCAATGGGAGTGTGGCATGCAGAAGGTCCCAGGTTCAATTCCTGGCTTCTCTAGCTAAAGAATCAGGCGATAGGTAAAGGTTCCCTTGCTCGAAAGCCAGTCGAATCCGACTCTAGGGTTGCGGTGCTCATCTCCGTTTCA